AATTTTTAAATATGTTCATGTTTAATTATGAAACTATAAATAGTGACCGATTAAAAAAAACTAAGTTCAAAGGCGAGAGAGAGAAAACATTTTACAACATTTTACGTCGATAGGGCCGTGAGGAATTGTAGTTACATACAGATGAAAACAGTTGAATCGAATGCTTTCAAAAATGAGAAAATCCTTCACCAGATGAGACCTAGTTTACTTGTCTTTTTTTGCATTTCAGGGCTCATTGAAAGAAGGCTTTCTCCCCTTCAGAAAACAACCGCGACTCAAGATAGGTTGTTCGAGCTGGGAGATAATAATGCAAGATTTGACGATACAGTTTCCCCAATTTTTCTTGACTTTTCATAGAGTTAGTGACATTTCCTTATTTTTAGAAACTAAATCGCCCTGCCGAACATCGTTGGACGTATGGACGTTCTAATAAGGAAAAGCCTGTTCCCGAGATTAAATCGGTTGATTTTCTCGATGAAGCGATCATGAATGAGACGCCAAGTGAATGAAATTATGTAGTTCAAAACTCACAGTAGGCAAGGTCTCCTCTTTCGCTACATTATATGGTCAAGGTAACCGATAGTGTCAGTAAATAATGTAAGGACACGGTTTCATTAACTGATCCCGAGAGTTGGTACAATCCATGTTGAGATGCACTGGAGATTTATACAGAAAATGATAGTTACTTTCAAGAAATCATAATATCAGTTCTAGATAAATAATTCTTTTAAAAAGAAAAAAAAAAAAAAAAAAACTCTTACTTGAAGTCATTCCCGAAATCTTAAAATGAATGAATTAATGCCATGTTTCCTTGGAAAAAAACCTGTCGATTCTTTTAGATGCATTTCGATTTCTCGGCATCGAAGGTTAATCGACAAATTCCTATGCTCAGTATTCTTCGACAGTAGGTACTTCATACTTTATTCCCAGATTCTAAAGGTTAGTTTTTTTTATGGGGGGGGGGGGGGTGTCCTTAATTCTGCGCTCATCTTAAGATGAATACCTCGAATTTTCAAAAATCGGTCACTCATTAACATTCATTAATTACATGCCGACAGTCTGGGATCAGCGAATTGACTTCGATTGTGCGACACACAGGTCAGTCGTCAAGGTCAACCGAACACCTCGAAAGGTGGCGAGGTGGGAGACTACATAATGGATCGCATCACATTATCTGATGTGATTTACCAAAACTATGAGTCACCTGTTCTCGCTCTTTCATATGTGGGTGAATCACGAGAAACGCCATGCGTCACTGAGCGAACTTTAATCATAGACAAAAGAGTCTGGGAGAGATCAAAGAATCTCCTGGGATTCTTAAAAAGTTATTTTGGGGATACATTTGGCGCCGTTGTTGAGTTAAAATCTGCACAGGGCAAAGTTGAATCCCAGATCTGCATGATATAGATGTAGGATTGGCAAGATGGATTGTTGCTCGGAACCGGGTTAGCTTTTTGATTGCTCTGGATGCGTATACTACTCCCACACGGTGACATCCTTTTACACCCTAAAATCTCCCCTATCCCCCTACTACCCTTTTTAAGACATTTGCAAAATTGGACTAAATTTCGTAATTAGGAATTAAAATTTCTTGCTCATCTGTAAAACCACTTATGTGTTCAGGGAAACTAATGGTACATACATTGAATCTAAACTGAGTTAGAAATAGTTCCTGATTGCAAAATGTAGTCCAAGGGCTTTAGATTCCCGGGGTCATGTCTCCGCGAAGCGTTGTCAAGGGATTCGTCCCAAGTTCGAACCGCAAGAATGAAACTTTTCCCAGTTGCTGTCTCCACGAGACGGGGCTCTCACGCTCCTGCGACAAGTTGCCGCGGAAAGATAAATTACTAAAAATCGAGTGCTTGGCCGGGATTAAGAGGTAAGATCATAATTGAACACGATCAACAATTAAACAAATTATTATTCAAATTAAACACAAACAAGCGAGTGAACAACAAAATGTCGCACACAGGGAAAAAAACACATTGGATCTAGAGTCCAGACTCTTAAAAATATTGACAAGAAAAAATACTCTTGATTCAATCGGATTTTTGCTGAAATCGAGCACCAAGCCTCTTAATTTGAGCGGATTTCCTTTTGATTTAAGCTTAAATCTGATTGAATCAAGAGTATTTTTTCTTGTCAATGTTTTCAAGAGTCTGAACTCTAGATCCAATGTGTTTTTTTTTTCCAGTGCACCGTTTGCTTTCACTTCATCTTCTTCTCTCAGTTGGTCTTGGATACCTTTACAAGGGGTACAAGGGCCATACTTGGTACTCGAGGGGTATAAGGACCGTACTTGGTACTAAGAAGGGGGAAGGAGGAGGAGGAGGAAGAAGAGAAAACAGGATTTATTTTTCTTCATTTTTCCTCTTGCTTCTTTTTTTTCATTCCTTCTCTTTCCTTCTCGTCTTCTCCTACTCTTCCTCCTTCTTCTCATCCTCCTCCTCCGTTTTCTTCTTCCTCTCTTGCGTCTTCCGATTTGAAGGACGTCAGGCGAGGGCTACATTCCCATGCCTCCTTCTGAGGGTCTGACGTTTACGGACGGTCCCCGAGGAAGAATCCAAAAACGTGCATGGACGCCTTATCACTGACGTCAAAACGTCGTGGACTTTTGGTCTCACGTCTGGTCCGGGTCCTCGTGCGCGAATTCAAGTTTATTGACGCGACCACACGGTGTGAGGAGACGTCGCGTCGCGTCGGCCCCGAGGCCAGAGAGTGACGTCTGACGTACCTGGGCGACCGGGGCTCTCCTGGGCCTCATTTAAATCGTAGCGTCGCGCGTCGCTGATGGGCGCGGCGCGGCGCCAACCGGACTAATGGGCTAATTACCAGTACCCACAGCGCCACTCTCCGAGCCTTCGACCACGTGGGTGATGCTCGTGGTGAATTCCAGGAGTTACGACACGAGGATAATCCCGCGACTTCTCGGGGTGATCTAGGGACGAGATCTGCCGCTACGCCGCGCTGCGACACAGTATCGGTCTTTGGGGGGCAATTAATAACTATTGCACTGGGGGAAAAAAACACATTGGATCTAGAATCCAGACTCTTAAAAACATCGACAAGAAAAAATACTCTTGATTCCATCAGATTTAAACTTAAATCAAGAACCAAGCCTCTTAATTTGAGCGGATTTCCTTTTGATTTCAGCTTAAATCTGATTGAATCAAGAGTCTTTTTTCTTGTTGATGTTTTCAAGAGTCTGGACTCTAGATCCAATGTGTTTTTTTTTTCAGTGTGTAATACACTGGGAAAAAGTCCCTTGGATCCAGAATCCAGCATCTTCAAAAATTTCAAAAGAAAAATATACTTGATTCAGTCGGATTTTTGCTTGATTCAAAAGGAAATCTTAAATTGAGAGGCTGGGCTCTTGCTTCAAGCAAAAATCCGCGTGAATCAAGAGTACGTTTTCCTTTTCGAATTTTCTAAAAGTCTGGACTTTGGATCCAAGATACTTTTTTCCCAATGTACAGGAGACTGTCGATTATCCGACACAATCTGGTGGTCGGGGATGTCGGATAATCGAAACCACCCTCCCCCCCCCAAAAAAAAAAATAAAAAATAAAAAAAAGTGAAAGAATGCCATTTTTGGCTCTATCTATAACCAGAAAGCGGAAGTTTGGCCAATTTTTCGTAAGTTTGTAAAGCACAAACATTTAATTTGAAAAACACAATACGAAAACCACACATACAATGCATTCGATTTTTGCCCGAAAACCGGCTTCTGTCGTGTCGCGTTCGGACATGCCACGTTTCAGCAGTGGAAAAATCGTGTCGGATAATCGAGAGTCAACGAAGTACAGAGTAGTGCAAAAAACTGGTTCATTGAGCGTAGCAGTGCAGATATCTATTCAGTAGAATGACTTGTGAAGATTCGATGAAAATTTATCTCGAACAGGACCAAAATGAACGTCTTTGATAAGACTTAATATTTAGGGGCCTTATGCGAGAAAAAATTGGACGTCATTTGAACGCGTCCTGCCTTAGATAGGAGACACGTCCAAAAATCCAATTCTTCAGGTGAGGCAAAAAACTAGCGAGAAGTCAAGCATCAACTTTTTAGAATGCTCTTTTAAGGCCAAATGAGGTATACTGAGAAGTAATTTCATACCTTCAAATAACCCACTGAGTTACAGCCATTTTGAATTTTTGCAATGTTCCCTTTCAGAAGCTGACGGGTCTTCATCAAGACAAAAACTTAATAATTCGCCTGTAAAAGCTAATTAGGTTACTTTTTACGTATACAAGCTAATTACGTAACTTTCTACTTATAAAAGCTCAATTTGTGCTATCAATCGGTTTGATCTCATCGGGAGCCGATTTAAGTGAGAAGTCATTGCAGTAGATTTAAAAGTTTTTTATAGTTTCAGAAATTCTAAACTCATTTCATAGCGCTCCTAAGCTCTTACTTATGGGGAGGGGGGGGGATGATGCATGACTTACATGCAATATTTTACCCGCTGGTACGTTATTTTTCGGAAAAAAAGGCCAACCAATTAATTTCCACTATTTTGGACTTGACCCCTTTTAGAATTTTTACTTCGTATTATTTAGCAATTGTTAAAATCAAGCCCATTTGAATACCACACTTTAACCAATACAAATTGATTCAGGGTGTCTGCTAAGCTTTCATTTTTGATTTATCTGATATTTTCCTGACTTCTCCTGACATTTTAAACGAAATTTCTTGATTTTTTGCACGGATAAAGTTTCATTTGTTATAATTCATGAACCAACACATCTGATGAATTAAATCAAATGTTTGACTTGTACATATGCTAAACTTCAAGTAGTTGAAGAACGCTTGACGCATTCAGAAATCCCTGATCCATGACCTACATTCCTGGTTTTTCCTGATGACGTCGAATTTCCTAATATTTCGTTCGCGAGCAGCAAACAAAGGCGAGTGCGGAACTCATGCGGTTCCAACACCAGGAACCGACCCATATTTCGACGACTCTCGGCTCTCCCAAATATTGATAGTCAAACAAACTCACCTCAGTGAGGGTCCCGAGCTCGCCGAGGAGGGTCTCGAGGAGTTTCTCAGGGTCCTCGAGATCGGATCCGGGATCGGACTCCGCATCTGAGTTCAGGGCCGCGTCTTCGGGGGTGCCCATCGCTCGCTCCTGCAAAGCACACACACAAACACGAGGATTAGCACAAATACAAACACACAGACACCAAAATCCGCGGAAGGAAAGAAAACCAAACAGATCTAGGAATCCGCGAAAAAACAACGAAAAACGTCGAGATTCGCGGAGATGGCTCGTCGCGAGCGCGCTCGCCTCGACTGGAGCCGGCCGGTGTTGATTCGAGCAGCGGCGAGATAGCCGTCGAGTGGGGGGCGGATGGTGGGGGCTGCCGTGCCCTTCTTGCTGTGAGAAAACCGCCTAACTAACGGGGCGAATCCGGGGTATTAAAGCGGTTTAAATTTACCGAGGTAGCGAGCTCGAACCTGGCGATAAGACCACTCAACTACCTACGCTAATACGGATCCCGCGATGGATGCTATTGGCGTTCAGGTTAGGTAGAGGGATTTATCTAGAATCATCTTAACTGTACTTCGCTTTTCTTAACTTCCTCTCATGTTTTATCTATTCAACGGGGAGCTGAACAACCTTACGCCTTGAGGCTTCCTCTGAATTTTTCGCAGACTCTGACGAATAAACAGTTGCAAAATTTCAAGTCAGAATATTGCTAAGTATTGCTTAGTAAACAAATTTAAAAATGAGAGGAAATTCGGCAACGTTTAACAGAGTGTCTACTAAACTTTCATTTTGGATTTTACTGATTTTTCCTGCTATTTAAAAATAAAATCCTGATTTTCTGCGGGAATACATTCACTTTCGTCGGATTTAAAAAAAGCAACGAATTGAATTAAATTAATTAAATGTCTGGGAAATGCTTGAAACACTCAAAGTTTCTTGATCCATGGCCGGTTTTTCTGATATTTTTCTAATTTTTCCTGATGACGTAAAATTTTCTAATGTTTTCCGATTTTTCGGCTTATACTAAAGTCAGACGCCGTGTGCAATGTGCCTAGGCTAATTCTGGTTAATGCTGTCCAGTTATTTCTCCATTTTATGAAGTTAACGAGTTTTACTGATGAAATAAAGAGTGCCCATAAAATTCCCTAATTCCTGATTTTTGAGGAATAAGCTAAGCAGAATGGGGGTGTCTACCTGTCACTGGGATACTTGAAGCGAGGCCTTTGAGATGAAATATGTTCAAAATTCGTGTCCTTATTTTAGCAGGACGAAACGGCAAAGAAGTTCGATCATAATTCTGCCCAACCATTCGAGACCTTTTCATACTCCTGATAAGAAAAAATAAGGAAAATAAAGTGAAAAAGGCAACCTTGATTTCATGGAAACCGCGAGAAACCGAGCAAAAAATTGATAGAGCACACTTCTTTCGAAACTCATATCAAGATGATAGTGGGTCCTGAGTGCTTACATGGCTTTTTGCGTTTTTTTTTAGAATCACTGAATCTTTGATGACCGAAGCACTTAGTATGTGAGAAGGTATGGTATGAAGTCCAACTGCGTTCAAAAAATTGATTTCTTCAACTCCAGTTACCTGTGCATCATGGGTTAATGACAGTTGGCTTGCCGATATGACTGTGCATTCAATAGATGAACCGTCGATTTCGACTTGTTTTTACAACTCCGATTCATTTTCATCGACATCGACTAACGGATTTAAGATTTTGTTTGGGGGAGGGGCGGGGGGGGTGTTACGCCTTGGTATGAAACTAATATGTGCCAAAACATTCTTTGAAAACATATAAACATAAAAACTTGGGTCCCGATTACACATTTAGTGTCAAAAAATCACATTATTCGAGCTGTTTTTGGCAATACAAGATCCTTCATACATAGATCCTTCATCCTTCTACCTGATGCCTAGTGAAGTCCCACTAACTTTGTACTTTCAATTAATTGATACATGAAAGCTGCCCGGAGACACAGTTATTTACAAGGCAACAGACTCAAGTATTATTGAAAGGTGATGTTGCGACAGGCGACTGTAGAGAACGACGACGCATAAGAAACGCCTTCACTGTGAAAAGATACTTCCTAGCATGGCCTCAGAGGCCGAATAGTTGCATCATTGAATAACCCTGTCAGTGTGGCATCACGCAGATTAGCAGGTAGTGCGTTCGCTTGACGTAATTATTTGATGAAGAGTGCGACGCATAAAAAACGCCTTCATTGTGAAAAGATACCTCCTAGCGTGGGCTCAAAGGCCGATTAGTTGCATCCTTTAAAAACCCAATTAAGAGTGTAGCAGTTGAGTTGCTTGCGGAGATAAGAAGGAGAAATGGGTGAGAAGAAGAAAAAGAAGAAAAGAAGAAGGAAAAGAGGAAGAAGAAAAGAAGAAGGAAAAGAAGGAGACGAAATAAAAATAGAAAAAGAAGGAAAAGAAATGGAAGAAATAAAAAAGGAAAAAGTAAGAAAAGAAGGAGAAGAAATAAGAAAAGAAAAAGAAAAAGTAAAAAAATAAAAAGAAGAAATAAACGAAGAAGAAAAGGAAGGACAAGAAGAAGAAGAGGAGGAGGAGGAGGAAGAAGAAAAAATAAAAAGAAGCAGAAGAAGAAGAAAGAAAAGAAAAAGAGAAAAAAGGAAAAAAGAAGAGGAAGAAAGAAAAGGAATTAAGAAAGAAGGAAAAGAAGAAGAAAAAAACAGAAGGATAAAAGGCAGAGAGAAAGGATGAGGTAGAAGAGAAAGTGGAAAAGAGGGAAATAAACATTAGAATTTCTTAGAAACTGAATACCCAAAATGAATATGAGATTTTGGCGCCCCGCGAGAATGGTGCCTTTTGTGGCCCTTGCTAAGGACCAAGGAGGCCTATTGGTGCGTATATGCGAGTTTTTTTCCTCTCGGTTTTGAGAGGACGTATTCCCGTGGCGTAGCGTTCGGCGAGGCCGTGACGCGTGACGCGACTACGACTGGACGGACGTAAATCGGCGGTGGTCGCCTGCGCAGTGATTAGCCGCCGCCGCTCTCGGCCTGCAAATTAAGCCATTATTAGCATTAGCCGCGCTCATTATGCCCCCGGTAACTCCCATCGTTTATTATGAGCACCTGCCCCCTGTCTCGCTAATTCCTCAACCACTTCGTTACCGTCACGAGTATTTTCGCCAGCCCGCCCCTTCAATCACTCCAGACGCGAACCGCACTGCAGGTACGACGCCGCAACAAGTGCGCGCGATGGTTCATTCTGTGGCCAACATTTGCTGGAGCGGAAAAAAGCCCTGGTAAAAATTGGAAGTAGAATGTGTGTTCCAAAATACTAAAGACCTAAAGCCGGCTGTAAGATTTCCAATAGCTGCTGTAGTCGGCTGTACAATTTCTTATAGCCTTTTATAGCCGATGGCGATTAAGCGACAGCCAGGCGATATAGTTTATGCTAAACGTTACTAAATACGGATACTAGGACTTACTTAGTTTTTGGACTATCGATCTCTTTTGGTGCCGGAGTATCTTGATTTATTTTGCGAGGAAAGCTCCGTACTTTCGAAGGACGCCTGTCATTCTCAGTATGTTGGAGCGCCTTCAATTTCTTAAGATATTGTGCACTGCCTCTGGTGTGAAATAGTTGCTTCAGACGCCGTGGCACGCTGCGGCGCGGCAGGCGGGCAGAGAGCGCGAAACGCGCATTGGCGCCTACAAACCTAACAGGGATACTTCACGCATTGCGCAATGCGTGAAGTATCCCTGTTGGATTTGTAGGCGCCAGTGCGTTGCCGCTCCGCTTTGTTTAGGCTCTAATATTTAATCTCGCGGAGGCAGCGTTTTTCAACTCATGATTTCGAAATGTTTGCACACTCTGTATGGACTATTCTCATTTTAATTGATGAAAAAAAAAAAAAAATATGTTTTAAAGGAAAATATAATGTGTGTTTAGTAAATATTAAGGTAGTTCCGTATCAAACATAATAATTTCCAAAGCTTACGAATTTCTACACTATTTCTTATAGCCTTTTATAGCCAATGGCGATAGAGTGTAAAGCCCGGCGATAGGAACTATAGGAACTCCTATGGTATTTTGAAACGCAGCTCCTATCGCCAATTTTTACCAGGGAGAGTAACCACAAACAGAAAATTGTTTAGATTTCACGATGCCCACATTGGAAAAGTCAAAAATTTACGCCTGGCTCAATATATTGTTATGACCTATAGACAATTTTTATGTTTATTCCATCCTTACTATTTTTTTCTGCAGTTTAATTTTGTGTAATTTCCGTGTGTTGGTTAGCAAAAAATACATATCGTCAGGCAAAGTATCACAAGCGCCATGCGACGTTTAAAAATTTCCGCCGCCATTTTATTTTTTTACTGAGAAATTGTTGGTTGAATCTGTTCGAAAATTTCACTAAATTTTAACGGCAGCACAAAGAAAATTCGGTGTAATTTTCGGACAGGTTCGTTGAACAATTTCTCTGTAAAAAAATATAATGGCGGCGGAAATTTTTAAACGTCGCATGGCGCTTGTGATACTTTGCCTGGAAGGTGACGATATCCTGTCAAACGATATGATTAATGTCACTGGCTCCATTACAGTTAACATTGTTCAAGGAGGTAGGTGTATTCTACTTTGGAAAAATCCTAAGATCCGCTTCATCCGTATAATTAGTTTTCAATACTTTCTCGATTTCCTCATTCGAAGAAATCGTCTCTTATCCTGATTTTCTTGTGCAGAATCGTTGTACTCATGATTGATTTTTCATGAAATTTTCGGAAGACAAATCAAATTCTGACTTTTTGAGGTCAAAACTCTTGACTGCTTACGTTCTTCCTCATTGGATTGAATCCTGAATTTTTCAGAGGTTTCAGAGGTTTTCTGCGATGCCTCACGCTGAGCACGGAAACAATTATTGTTTACAGGCACTATCTGATATAGGGTCGTCCATTGGTGACCTCAAATACCCAGGGGAGATAAGGGGGTAACGGTGGTTAATAAGAATCGGTACAAAAACCCCTTGAAATGACGGTAGGCGAAAAAGAGATTTGACTTTAGGAGGGAGAGGAGTCACACATCGGAAAAAGTTCCTAACGTCATTAATGTACGGCTCTTAACGTCAATTAACTTTTATTCTTCTTCCCGTTTTATCCGCATATTT